GAAGGGAGATCTTCTGTAATAGACTCTGATAAGAAAATACTTCTCATTGGAAGTCAGTGAGGGCAGGACAGAAAAAGAACATAGAAATGGTGTTTATACTATATGTTGATATATGACAGAGTTGTTACATCTGAAATGTTAATGTACATTTGTTGTTCTGCCACTGATGATGCACACAAAAATCTTAATTTGTTTCCATTTTTATACAATAATAGCCTTTTAGGAGCCTGTTTTTTTTAAAATAAGAGGTCCATAGTACTTAGAAAAAATTACCTTAATAAAACAGAGAAGAAACCATACATTGAAAAAAGGTTATATGAAGCATCCAAAAAAATAATAGTGCTGTGGGTGAATTGGAAATTATAAATGGATAGTTCTTTTATTAGTTTTACTGCAGTTTTTAACATTTTTTCAAGTTACTTGTTATATAGGTTTGAAACTAGAGATGGGGATAATACTCCCATTGGTAATATAATGCAACATAGTGATATGACATAAGTATCCCATTTATAAGATATTGCTGCTTACTCAGGAGTTTTGATGAAAATAAATTCCAAAATCACAAGTGTTATGCATCTCTTATTTCAGTATGGATAGCTATTTTTCCGACTATAATAGACTCAGAAAAGATGCAAATGAGTTCAAATTACCTTTAGGAAATGTAATTCAAAATAATAGATTAAATTTATAGGACACAGCCTTGTTTTTAGTCAGGTCATCATTCTGATAGCAACTTTCCACAGTATTAGACAAGAGTGGTTCCACGCCTACCAAGAAGAGATGGAATAATAATTGTATGTGGGATCTTTATTTGTAGACAGTTAAAACACATGATTTATCACTGAACAATGGTTATAATTAGGCTTGTTGTCAAAATTGTCAAAAGTTTTTGTACAAAAGTTTGATTCAAATTACTATATTTGCTTATTAGAATTAGATGTTTTGTTCATGGTATTCTTGAAATTCTTTTGAATACAAACCATAAGTTGATAATTCTTTTAATATTATACACCAAAAATCCATTTTCAATGTATAACCATGCTGTTTAATTTATTTCACTCTTCATTAAACTTTTTTTAACCATTTTGAGCCACATTTGATACACAACTTTTGTTCAATTTTTCAACTCTAATGTTGAAGTAAAAAGACTATTGTTAGTCTGAATTTTGTAAATGGATATACTATAGTATATACTGTAGTATGTTGGCTGACTGCTATAAATTTGGAATTACTATGCAAATTTACACAGTAAGCTGCTAGTAAAGTTTCTAGAAAATACGTTATAGAAAGCAATGGTACTGAATTCCTTTCTAACAACAAGAAAGTCATACTTATGCTAAATGATATTTGCCAATGCAAGAATGCATATCATTTGGACTAATTCCAATCTTTCTAGCCCGAAGAGTGATCTTCCACAGTAGGGGCATAGCATTTTGTGAACCAATGAAAAGAAAGTACCTGATAAATAATCTGTATTTCCATAGTCTTAGAAAATATAATTTAATATTGAACTTAAGACTTGTGTTGCCAAAGTCTTTATGATGATAGTCTGGCTAATTGGGTCCCAAAAGAAAATCTAATGGCAGAGACTGCAAAGTGATGACATCAGAGCCCCAGGTGATTGATCTACCGTAATTTGAGAAACATGATGCATTCAGAATTTCGTACCATTTATATTGCTAAATTATTTTGCAGCAAATACCAACCCAGCTTTTCATTACACTTCTCAGACTAAAGTATTTTTGAACCTAAATGTATACATTTATAGATTATGCTCGGTGTGTGTTAACTTATGTATGATAATCAGTAATTATGGAATGCATCTAGGTTGTTTCAGGTTTGTGATGTTCTGTGCAGTTATTCAGTGCAATTATGAATGCTGTTCTTGCAGCATTCTTAGAGTTGGCCCTGCAATCCTGAGGAGATATCCTTTGTTTAGCAGTTGGAGATCTCAGAGAAAGATTCTAGATGATTCTAAGCCTGTGCGCAGTGCATCCAGGATTCCAGATGCTATAATCTTCTGAGAGACAAATGGAAATTTCTATCTTGTAAACCACTTGGAACATATATTCCTTTTATCGTGCCCTTTGGAAAGTTACTCTCTTCTGTATCACAATAGGTGAAAAGATTAAATATACTCCAGAAAAAAATTCAGAAATGTCTTTTGTCCTGCTTTGCAGCATTTCAAAGGCTATAAATATCATTTACTTACAGTAATCTTATTTATTTCTTAAGTTTCTTATTCATTTATTTATATGTTTGTTGACTGTTGACTGGAATACTCTTGGCTTCACATGCAAGATTTTGATAAACATCTAAATTAAGGATTATATCATGTATCAGGTTTTATTTTTTTAAAAACTTGCAAACGGGTGATCTTTTAACCTTGACATGCTGCATTTGTGACTCATGTGCTGGAGTGAGTCGAATGTAAAGTAGTAATTCCACTGCAAAAATATAAAGGCTAAAAAGCAAGAAATTCACTATGAATAATGATTTGGGTCATTTTTGAACCAGAACTTTTTTCTACTATGACTTGCTGAGCAAATCATAATTGCCTTATTTGCTTAGCATATTAAACCAAATGTAAATAAGCAACACTTCAAAATCTACTGTTTTGTGTAGAGCTGTGCTACCAATCAATCTCAAACACGTTAACATTAATGTCTAAAAGTGTTACATTTTAATAGTAAGTAACTGTCAGACTAAAGGATTGGTTGAAAGGCAGATTAATTTATTTCAACTAACGCTATTTCTTTGTGTGCTTGAAATTAGATTTTAAGACATGAATTTTTCCCCCTGTTGACCTTGTTCTACCATCAGTATTAAGAAAGAGAGGAAATGTAGACCAATTTCAATAGTATTTAAAATTAATCCTGCAATTACATATATTTATATTTATTTTTATCAAACTATTTATAGGTAAAGCTAATAAAGTATAAAATAAATCCAAGCTTATTTTTTTTCAATTGATGTTCAAAAGGGTTACTGTACAAATAAATATTTAGAAGTTGGTAATATCATGTATGCCTTGTGTACAGTACTTGTGATAGAACTTTCTCTACCACTGAAGACCTAAAGATTCACTGTACCTATACCTTCCATTTAAATACATTCAATTTAAAGTAAGAAAATAAATAAAATTGATTTTCATTTCATGGAAAAAACAGGCAAATTTACTAAACAGTAAAAATACTAAACAGCAATATGAGGATTTATTTTATAATTTAGGGAACTATAGGATAATGATGAAGAATAAATGCTGTTCCTTTTATCAATTATTTATGCATTTTCCCCTTCCAATTGTTTTCCTTTTTTTAAACACTTTCTACTTACAAAGGTATGTTGTCTCCAACAATCATCTTGTTGCCTTTCCTGCTGCCTACTCTGTTTATCAAAATTCTCTGTTTATTACAGTATTATTATTATTATTATTATTATTATTAGTAGTAGTAGTAGTAGTAGTAGTAGTAGTAGTAGTAGTAGTATACAAAAAATGACAGTGTACAGAGTAAACAAGATAACTATGCTGGGTTTCATATCACAAATCACTAGTCAAACACTTCCCAAGTGTTTAGGACTGTGTGATGTATCGGCAGATTATGTGAGCAGATCCCAGTAAGGGGGCCTTCTGCAGCTGCCCAATGGTGATTTTGTCAGTGCCAGTTGTTTTTAAGTGCTTACTTAGGTCTTTAGGCACAGCACCCAGTGTGCCGAGTACCACTGGAACCACCTGCACTGGTTTATGCCAGAGTCTCTGCAGTTCGCTTCTCAAGTCCTGATATCTGGTGATTTTTTCAAGTTGTTTTTCGTCAATTCTGCTGTCACCAGGTATGGCAATGTCGATGATCCACACTTTTTTCTTCTCCACAATCGTGATATCTGGGGTATTGTATTCCAAAGCATCAT